AGCATCCAACGCAGAGTTCCAATACGAATAGTGCCAGAAGCAGTCTGATTATACGTCCGTCTTGCCTTTCCTCTTGGTCGTCGTTTTGTTTTACCGCTGCGCCGTTCAGTTCACGAGTGTAATTTTTACAGAGACCCATGGATCGTCGTCGGAGCTCCAGAGTTCGAGCTCTGTGTTACGTTTTCGACAGGTGGCTGGCCGTTCGGCGGAGAGAGACCGAGCCATATGGAATAAAACCTGCTGCAATGAAGTCGATCATCTCGACTCTAATTTAATCATTATCTAATAAGACGACACATTATACGTCACACAGGGCTTGCAACATAACCCTCCATTCTGTTTTATGGGTAATGATTGTGCAATTCTAATAACCGTGTTTGAGGTTTTAAGGTACTGAACAACGAACCAACATCATAGCACACTGGTATAACCCATAAGTGCTCCATTCTTCTTCTAACGCAAGTCTGAGTCCGAAAAATGCTCATCACAGTGCATAGGCTCTGTCACTACCCAGAGACCAGGGGGAGATTACTAGAAATCCAAGTCCACGTGAAACAATCCCAGCCCTCCCCCGTGTGGGTTCCGGGGCCCCATTGTGGGGAAAACAAGAATAGACCCACTGCCTCCCCAAAAGCATGTCGTAAGAGTCGTAACTAATTGGGGAGCTTCCTTTGAAGTCGGAGTGCATTTGCCGGAGAGGCAAGGAACCAACAGTCTGTATTCAAGAGAATGAGATCTGTAAAACTGATGCACACGCAACACTCAGGTTCTGGAGCAGGACTGCAGTTCAGTAGTGGACGAGCAACCAGAACCTTCCGCCAGAGTTTACAGCTGGTGAACGCGAAGAAGAAGAAGAAGAATCCCAGCCCTTACCAGGGAATGAACACAGAACCTCTAGCACTCGAGGTGGACATCATGCCTCGAGACCACGTAGCGCCCCCCCCCCACCACCCTTGTGACGACAGTGGCTTACATGGTAACTAAGGATAAGCCGAGCAGAAAGCCCGTGCAAGATAAGGCGGCAAGAGTGACTCGGGGTCGGAGAGATGCACGAAGGAAGACCAGAGGTTGGCTGTTAGTCAGTTGCGTACCAAATGTTGAAGAAGACGGTTGTGATTAGGTCAGTGTCGTTTAACTGAGGTGTAATAAACGTTGTTGGTGCTTTCTAGATACCCTAATCCGAAAAGGGGAAATCCATACGTCACGGGACAGTCTAATACTTTCTCGTGGGATGTAGGTGGGTTGGGGTTAGGGCCAGTTCTAGATGTTCTGGGTTGTTGAAAGAATCAGAAGGGCGGAAAACCCAGTCTTACGACTCTAAAATGTTGGACTGAGCTGTGACGTCATATGGCGTCAGATATTACGAAAAAAACTACGTTGTTTGAAATTCTATTGTAGGAGTGTTGCAGAAGTTAGCAGTGACACTCGCTCAGTGTCTGCTTAACATCACTCACTCACTCGCTCAGTGCCTGCTTAACATCACTCACTCACTCGCTCAGTGTCACCTTAACATCACTCACTCACTTCCTCAGTGCCTGCTTAACATCACTCACTCACTCGCTCAGTGCCTGCTTAACATCACTCACTCACTCGCTCAGTGTCACCTTAACATCACTCACTCACTTCCTCAGTGCCAGCTTAACATCACTCACTCACTCGCTCAGTGTCACCTTAACATCACTCACTCACTCGCTCAGTGACTGCTTAACATCACTCACTCACTCGCTCAGTGTCACCTTAACATCACTCACTCACTCGCTCAGTGTCACCTTAACATCACTCACTCACTCGCTCAGTGTCACCTTAACATCACTCACTCACTCGCTCAGTGTCACCTTAACATCACTCACTCACTTCCTCGGTGCCTGCTTAACATCACTCACTCACTCGCTCAGTGCCTGCTTAACGTCACTCACTCACTCGCTCAATGCCTGTTTGGTAATTTTCTTCTTCATCTTAGTGATCAAAGTATGTAAACTCCGGTGAAAATTTCGGACTGTTCGTCCACTTCTGGAATTCTGTTTTGTTCCAGAGCATGAGTTTGCATACAAACCAGTTTTACAGGTCTATCTTATTTGTCAGCAAACTGCTGGTTCTTCACCTCTCAGGCAGATCTACCTTGAAACTCCTATTTTTAAGCGTCTCGAACGACAAGCTTATTAAGGACACTGTGGGTCTATTATCCCCTCCACCCACCTTCACCACCTATGGGGTCCCAGAACCCACACAGGGAGTGTCTCACCCCATTTCTCCCTATGATGTGCCCAGTATGGCGTCATCTTCCCTTTCGTGTAACTGTTGACACAAGTGGTTGTCCAGACATTTCTCTGATCTCATCACTTTTTGTTTGAACGCATCCTCCCCCATATGGGTTCCGATGCCCCATTGTGGAGAAAACAAGAATAAGGCAAGAAAGCAAAAATCTGCATACAAATAAATCAGATCTGTAAAACGGATGTGCACGCAACATCAGGTTCTGAAACAAGACCAAAGTCCAGCGTCGGATGAACACACGGGACTTTTCCCACGAGTTTACAGCCGGTGAACGCGAAGAAGAAGAATAATTTATCCCATTTAATGCCTGGTTCTCAGTTATCTCAGGCTTCTGTTTTCAAATGTTTGTTAATAAACTTAAGTAAGGGACACTATTCTACATCTTTATAAAGCAGTTGGGATATTTAGAGCAAGAACTGTTTTTTAAAGATCAATCGGCACTCGGTAGATGATGTTGATAAACTCACACCGGCCGCCTTTACTTCACTTGACTGCACCTGGCTCCCACTCAAGGCTGGATCGACTTAGCAGACAAGGTAATTTTGGGGAAAAAACGGTTCCCTCAGGACCCAAAACCCGCCACCTTCCGATCCGCATATGAGCTGTAGTTGCATCTATAGATCTATATGTCTGACTGTTTACCCGACTCTTTCCCTCATTGGCTTTCTCTCTCCCTATATACTTACATGTCCCATCGTCTGTATGCGTTTCTGATTTCCTGCATAATATAGGCTTATGATTGAACGTTTCATTGTTTCATTCATCACTGGTGACGTCCTACAAAGAGCATCAACATCAGCCGAACAACCAGGCACATTGTTTCCTCTTCCACAGACACAGATAAATATTTCCAGTTGCGATACAGGGGCCCTTTTTGGACGCAGGTCAGGAGAGACGGAGGGGGAGAGGGGGGGGGGAGGAAGAATATACCCCCTCCCCCTTAACCACACCCCCCCCCCTAAACAAAACTATTGTAAAAGCTTAGTATTTAAAAATGTACTGACATCGGATATTCTGCGCCAAGGTGCAGATATCGAAACCAAAATGTGAACCACAACACAACTTGTTAACCTTCTTATGAAAAGCAGACGCAAAAGAACAAGTTAAAAACAGCCAGAAAAACACAATCTTTCTTCCAGTACAATTCTGTACTTCTCTCGCAGCTGAAGTTTTTAAAATTCAGTTTAATTCTTTACATTTCTCTACCCTTATCACATCCAAAAACTTAGTTATTTGTTATCCACTACACTGTTCTACTTCTATCACACTTTACAATAATCAAATACTAGCCGTCATTTTCATCCTCTACTTATATCCCACCCATACAGATAGACACCGTTATTTACTCCCATTTCACATATCTACTTCTCTCACATCTAATCACTTACCGTTGTCCCCCTCTACTCAAATTCTCTGCTTCTCTCACGCCAAAACACTTACCGTTTACCCCCTCCACTCAAATTCTCTACTTATCTCACACACAAACACTGACCGTTGTCCCCCTCCACTCAAATTCTCTACTTATCTTATACCCAAACACTTACCGTTGTCCCCCTCCACTCAAATTCTCTACTTATCTCACACACAAACACTGACCGTTGTCCCCCTCCACTCAAATTATCTACTTCTCTTATACCCAAACACTTACCGTTCACCCCTCCACTCAAATTCTCTACTTCTCTCACACCCAAGCACTTACCGTTGTCCCCCTCCACTCAAATTATCTACTTCTCTCAAACCCAAACATGTGCCATTGTCCCCCTTTACTCAAATTATCTACTTCTCTCACACTCAAACTCTTACCGTTGTCCTCCTCCACTCAAATTATCTACTTCTCTCACATCCAAACACTAACCGTAGTCCCCCTTCACTCAAATTATCTACTTCTCTCACACCCAAACACTAACCGTTGTCCCCCTCCACTCAAATTATCTACTTCTCTCACACCCAAACACTTACCGTTGTCCACATTCCCTCAAATTCTCTTCTCATGCTCCTTTACTGAAGCAAATATCTTCAAAGCTGTAGTACAAAGCACTATGAATTCAGCAAGTTACCTTACATTTCCAGCGTGCTTATGATTTTATAATTTATAACTGCACCGGTGTTGTTGTTTTCCGACTAACGGAGAATCTCTTTGATCTTTGTGTGACTTATAATTTGTACCCCTAAAAGTAAAATTTACAGTAATTGATACAAGCCTGGAGATTAATTGGAAAACATGTCATACCTACAACGATGCGTTATAAGTATTTTAATAGCAGCCTGTAAATAAAGGTGGAAACAAATTTCAGAGGGTATTTTGATAGCATATCCAGCATTCAATAAAACATGCACAATTTATGGGAGACTAATGCTGGAGCTGACCACATGTGAGTGAGACACCTATGAAACGCGTCCTTTTGATGTTTTAAAAAGTTCCTGTCCCTCTTTTTTGTAAGCACACTGACTCTTTATTTGAATCAATGTCTTTTTCTTTTCTTAATTAACCGCCAATACGGTAAAATTAAAAATAAACAAGACGCCTTTTTAATTTAAAAAAAAATCTTTGAAAAAAACTTAATTATTAACAGGTTGCTTGTCAGATTTCAACAACTTACACAGTTATTGAGTTATAGATTTTTAAAGTTAGACAGAACTTTTGGAACGGACTATAGTTTCCTGTACTATAAACTCCTACTTCTCTCACGGAAACATTAACATCAGCCAAACAACCAATCACTTACCGTTAGCTTCCCCACAAACGTGCTATTTTTAGCATCTTCCGGGATGAGCACTGTATTCTCAAAGACTGTCTTCTGCAGCTTGACCTCCAGGCGTGGGGCGTTGTTCCCCACGTTGACGATGCTCAGCGTCATCGTCGCCTCAGATGCCCTGGGGATATCTCCTTGGTCCTTGGCTTCCACGACAGCCTCGAACGTTTTCCCTGCGTCGTACTGGAAGACAAAGTCAAACATTTTGCTGTAGAGGGACCAGAGCCTGAGAGCTCAAGAAGTCCAGCACCCTCCCACCACCCCTTTTCCACCCCTTACATTTGGAATGGGGACTGGGTGGTCAAAGGATGATGTAAAGATATTGTCTTATATTCTCTGTCTGTCTGTCTGTCTGTCTGTCTGTCTGTCTGTCTGTCTGTCTGTCTGTCTGTCTGTCTGTCTGTCTGTCTGTCTGTCTGTCTGTCTGTCTGTCTGTCTGTCTGTCTGTCTGTCTGTCTGTCTGTCTGTCTGTCTGTCTGCCAGCCAGCCAGCCTGTCTGCCTGCCTGCCTGTCTGTCTGGCTGGCTGGCTGTCTGTCTGTCTGTCTGTCTGTCTGTCTGTCTGTCTGTCTGTCTGTCTGTCTGTCTGTCTGTCTGTCTGTCCGTCCGTCCGTCTGCCAGCCTGTCTGTCTGCCAGCCTGTCTGCCAGCCTGTCTGTCTGTCTGTCTGTCTGTCTGTCTGTCTGTCTGTCTGTCTGTCTGTCTGTCTGTCTGTCTGTCTGTCTGTCTGTCTGTCTGTCTGTCTGTCTCTCTCTCTCTCTCTCTGTCTTTATAACGACAGACATGATTTTTGTGCCGTGCCTTTGGAATTGCTTTCTACAATAATCCTCAATAACATTTAAAGCTGGGTCAACCTGGGACCCCATCTGACCCTTTAACCACAAGACCAAAGAGCACGCTTCCAAGCTACTGCGCCACACCTAACTGTGTCAATATTTACGTACATTAGCACTAGCGTAAGGCCTGTGTGACCTCATTAAAACAACACTTCATTCAATACATGGCTTACCTGAAGCTGGGACTTAATGGTAATCTCTCCTGTAAACTGATCAATGGCAAACAAGACCCGACCTCGATTGTCTTTTCCTGGAAACATCAATGAGTACCTGGCAGGGAAAATATTACATGAATCAAATAACATAAAGGGAAGAAAATAACACGGGAGGAATGAAATAACATAAGGGAAATATAATAGGAAATAATAATGAAAGGAGTGATACACATGGTGTACAGAGAATAAATAAATATGAGTAGACCACGCGACAGAGCTGGAAAGTGGAATACCATAAAAGTTAGGCAGACCGACAAACACATGCAGTGGACAATTTGACAAAATAGGTCCGTCAAAGAGATAAACAGAAGGCGATAATATCTGCAACAATGAATCTAAAGGCCTGGGAATGCTGCTACTACAGTTGCTGATGAAGAAAGAGAAGAAAAAGAAGAAGAAGAAGCAGTGGCAGCAGCAGCAACAACAACAGCAGTAGGAGTAGCAGCAGGAGAAGAAGATGAAGAAGAAGAAAAAATATAAAGAAGAAGAAGAAAATGAAGAACAAGAAGAAAAGAAGCAGCAAAAAAAAAAAAAAGAAGAAGAAGAAGAAGAAGAAAAGGGCAAATGACAATTTATCCCCCCCCCCCCCCCCCCCCCCCCAAAAAAAAAAAAATGGAAATAAAAATATTTACCAGTACTGTCTGGCGGAGTTTACAGCTGGTGAAAGCGAAGAAAAACAAGAAGAATATATGATGAAAGTAGAATATTTCGGATATAGCAAAAATTACATGATTCTGATAAAATGTCCCACAAGATGGATAGCACAGGGCACGCTATCAAAACAGTAGACAGGGATGCAAGTATGATAATGACATGACGAGATGGGAAAAGAAAGCCCAAATCCTTAACGAGAGACAGAACATGTTGCAGATCAAACGCTGGCAACCTTTACTGTGGTAACGGCACCTGACTGACTGACTGATTACTACAAATGGCATGTTGATACTTTCTCTTGGACAGTGACGTATTCTTGATGGCTGAGGTTAGTTGCGTATCCTTTACAGGACGTTGCAGAACCAACCACAACAGCCCCTGGCTGTTAGTTTTTCTAGGCACATTTAAATATTTTAAGTAGTTTGCCATTGCTATCTGGACGGTCGGCTTTCTTGATACCACTGTCGAAACCAACGCAAGGCACATGACCAGCAGCTAGAATCGAATCTGGCATCACGGCATTACGAAGCGTTCGCATCGACTTAGCCACAGAGCCGACAGATGGCTGACAGAAAGGCACAAAGAGGTGAATATGTGAGTCGCTTGGCTTTATAGCTAACCTGCTTCAAAACTGGTGATCGTGTGAGTTGTGGTGATAAGCTATCAGGTTTATGATGATGGTGGTGTTAATGAGGATGGTGATAACGCTGACTTTGACGGTGGCGATTATGATACTGTTGACGATAATCTTGACGACGATAATGACGATGATGACGTTGATGATCATGTTGTTGTTTTGATATGGTTTTGATGCTAATTTTCATGATGATGAAAAATGCCTTTGATTTGTCTCTCCAGTAAGGTTTGTAAAAGAGTGTTTTCTCTTTTACTATGGCCGAAGTATTTCTATTGTGTCTATTTAATGGTCGGCTCTGTGGCTAAGTCGATGCGAACGCTTCGTAATGTCGGGATGCCTGGTTCGATCCCAGCAGTGGGCCATGCGCCTTGCGTTGGTTTCGACAGTGGTATCATGAAAGGCAACCGTCCAGAAAGCAATGGCAAACTACTGGACGTAAATTTGCCTAGAAAAACCACACAACAGCCAGGGGCTGTTAGGGTTGGTTCTGCAACGCCCTGTAAAGGATACGCAACTAAGTTATTTAATGACTTTTTTTAGCAACTTTCTATTCATTCTCAACCCTCTTCATAAACCAAATTATATTAGTTACAATGAAATACGACCCGACTGGCACCTCTGCCTAGTACAAGGTCCGGGCAATATGGTAGAAACCATATGGTGACCATGTATCATGACCTCACTCTCTCTCCCTCTCTCTCTCTCTCTCGACCTGCCTTGTTCATTCCAAAGGAAAGGTAATACCAGTACGTTCAGAACAAATCAGGCTGCAGAAGCTGCCGGATCAGAAGATCAGTACTGATCTCCTAAACTATCTGAGCCGGGGCTAAAGGCCTGGTCTGCCGCTCCATGACATAAGGTTTTCAGGTTGCATTTCCTCTTTCTAGGATATGGCAAAGTATCCTCCCCCAATGTGCTCCTCCGCCCCAAACCGTTGGTACAATATGGGATGTCAGGTTTAGTATACGCCGCCCAACATTCGACGTTAACAGAAGACAGGTAGTACCGGCTACTGTTATACGGTAGCTGAGTCATATCTGACCAAAACCTGACACATGTATTCACCATCAATCAGCAAGTCCTCTACAGAACGTCGCTCTCTTCAAAGCACGCCTAAAAGTTTCCCTTTCCCTAGCCGGCTCCCCAGCCACATGTGCTTTTAATGCCAATGCATCTTCAATGTCCTGCATTCATCTTTGTGGTGGTCGACCCCTGCCTCGCCTTTCACAAACTGCACCCATGTATTAAATGCACGAATTATCATATTAAATTTTAGTTTAATGGCAGATGTACAATTGGCTCAGAAGAAAAAAAAAACCCCGTCCTAATTTTCTGCATATCCACATCTCCAGAGATTCAGTTTTGATTTTCAGCTAAACACAAGGACTATAAGACTTGATTGAGTTCATTTCCGTGTAAACCTGGGGTCAGTGATTCGTCGTCATAATTATGCATAGACCGTCACAGAGGACAGTGACATGAGGACAGTACCGAGTGTGCATCTCTCGCTTAACTGATTTTATGGGTGCACAAACAACAACAAGTTTCTCCCTCCTCCCACCTTACAACTGAGAGTGTCAGATTGATCGCGTGTGCAACTGCTGATTTGTTGGTAACTTCTGCTACCGTCGATGATGAACTGCATTTCTAATGTCAAACTGTTTATGGCTACCGTATACTTTTAATGCGTGTGTATGCTAGTGTATATGCTGAGACAGCAGTCTGTCAATCTTTCCACAAGGGACTGTGATAAACATTATGTGTGTTTTTCGTTGGCACAGGAGCGGAGCAACTATGGGGTGACTCGTTTGCTATGAAGCTGAGACTAAAATTACCAAGATTACCAAGTGTCATATATCTTGGTGACACATACATCCATGTAATTGATTATTCTACAAACTAGGGCAATGGCTCTCAAACTTCCTAATGCTGCGACCCTTTAAATAATACAGTTCCTATATATAATACATTTCCTATATATAATACAGTTCCTATATATAATACAGTTCCTATATATAATACAGTTCCTATATATAATACAGTTCCTATATATAATACAGTTCCTATATATAATACAGTTCCTATATATAATACAGTTCCTATATATAATACAGTTCCTATATATAATACAGTTCCTATATATAATACAGTTCCTATATATAATACAGTTCCTATATATAATACAGTTCCTATATATAATACAGTTCCTATATATAATACAGTTCCTATATATAATACAGTTCCTATATATAATACAGTTCCTATATATAATACAGTTCCTATATATAATACAGTTCCTATATATAATACAGTTCCTATATATAATACAGTTCCTATACATAATACAGTGTTGTGGCCACCCTCAAGTTCACAGTGATTCTCGTTGCAACTTCATAACTTCAATGAATTTGTGTTTTCCGATGCCCATAGCGACCCCTGTGAAAAGCTGGCCTAGGGTATCACATTTTTGCACGTTTGTCTGTCTGCCTGCCTGTCTGTCTATCTGTCTCTTATCTATCTGAATGTCTGCATGAAATTTCTACATGTATATATGGCTTACAATACTTGGTATTATTATTGTTTACAAACGTAAACATAATTACATCATATCCCAGCCTATCATACATACAAAGACAGCAAATCAATATTCTGCCCACTTGGAGAGAATGCCTTCTGATGCTATACCATACAAGGCAGACACAAAAATAGGAGAGGGACATAGAGCAAGAGGCAGACTAAGAACAAGAAGATAACTTCAGAGAAACTCTACAGCATTATGATGTGTCTATGGTCGAAACAGCTAGAAAGAAACGAAGCAGGACCTTATATCTCCTTCTATGCCCGAATCGGTCAAAAAGGAAGAAGAAGAAGAATATCAAAACATCCGTAGCAAATAATTAGATATCGATGATGTGTATTATTACATACTAACTTATGTTAAACGTCAATTGCGTGTCCTTTAAAAGACGTTGCAGAACCAACCCCAGCATATTGTGGCTGTTTGGGTTTTTCTAGGCAAATTTTACGTTCAGCAGTTTGCCACTTCGTCTCTCGATGCCGTTGTTGACACCAACACAAGGCAGCCTGTTGTCAAATCCGCCCTCAGTTAGGATCAAACCCGGCACCTTGGCATTACGAAGCGTGTTCGCAACGCCTAAACCACAAACGCTTACACTAACTTAAGTATGAATAGAAAGTATATCTGTAAGCAGTAAGGCCAAAAGGGCAGACTTAAGACGGGCCTGCATGCCCATTTATGAACTCTTTCAAAATGAAATTCGTACATTCGTTCTTTCTTCCGATTCTAGGATTGCAAGTAAATGCTAACACATGAGCGTCTGTCTGATTTCAGCTGGGAGAATGGTCTCATTATCTGTGCATATGTATGTACGTATGTAGGTGTATCTGTATGTATATGTGCGTGTATCTTTGTGTGCAAATGTGCTTATGTATACGTATGTAGGTGTATCTGTATGTATATGTGTATGTCTGAGTGCAAATGTGCATACCTATGTATGTATGTATGTATGTAATGTATGTATGTATGTATGTATGTATGTATGTATGTATGTATGTATGTATGTATGTATGTATGTATGTATGTATGTATGTATGTATGTATGTATGTATGTATGTATGTATGTATGTATGTATGTATGTATGTATGTATGTATGTATGTATGTATGTATGTATGTATGTATGTATGTATGTATGTATGTATGTATGTATGTATGTATGTATGTATGTATGTATGTATGTATGTATGTATGTATGTATGTATGTATGTATGTATGTATGTATGTATGTATGTATGTATGTATGTATGTATGTATGTATGTATGTATGTATGTATGTATGTATGTATGTATGTATGTATGTATGTATGTATGTATGTATGTATGTATGTATGTATGTATGTATGTATGTATGTATGTATGTATGTATGTATGTATGTATGTATGTATGTATGTATGTATGTATGTATGTATGTATGTATGTATGTATGTATGTATGTATGTATGTATGTATGTATGTATGTATGTATGTATGTATGTATGTATGTATGTATGTATGTATGTATGTATGTATGTATGTATGTATGTATGTATGTATGTATGTATGTATGTATGTATGTATGTATGTATGTATGTATGTATGTATGTATGTATGTATGTATGTATGTATGTATGTATGTATGTATGTATGTATGTATGTATGTATGTATGTATGTATGTATGTATGTATGTATGTATGTATGTATGTATGTATGTATGTATGTATGTATGTATGTATGTATGTATGTATGTATGTATGTATGTATGTATGTATGTATGTATGTATGTATGTATGTATGTATGTATGTATGTATGTATGTATGTATGTATGTATGTATGTATGTATGTATGTATGTATGTATGTATGTATGTATGTATGTATGTATGTATGTATGTATGTATGTATGTATGTATGTATGTATGTATGTATGTATGTATGTATGTATGTATGTATGTATGTATGTATGTATGTATGTATGTATGTATGTATGTATGTATGTATGTATGTATGTATGTATGTATGTATGTATGTATGTATGTATGTATGTATGTATGTATGTATGTATGTATGTATGTATGTATGTATGTATGTATGTATGTATGTATGTATGTATGTATGTATGTATGTATGTATGTATGTATGTATGTATGTATGTATGTATGTATGTATGTATGTATGTATGTATGTATGTATGTATGTATGTATGTATGTATGTATGTATGTATGTATGTATGTATGTATGTATGTATGTATGTATGTATGTATGTATGTATGTATGTATGTATGTATGTATGTATGTATGTATGTATGTATGTATGTATGTATGTATGTATGTATGTATGTATGTATGTATGTATGTATGTATGTATGTATGTATGTATGTATGTATGTATGTATGTATGTATGTATGTATGTATGTATGTATGTATGTATGTATGTATGTATGTATGTATGTATGTATGTATGTATGTATGTATGTATGTATGTATGTATGTATGTATGTATGTATGTATGTATGTATGTATGTATGTATGTATGTATGTATGTATGTATGTATGTATGTATGTATGTATGTATGTATGTATGTATGTATGTATGTATGTATGTATGTATGTATGTATGTATGTATGTATGTATGTATGTATGTTCGAGTTAAGACAAGCCAGTCCTCTGAAACCTCAATACTCTACGCAACAATCTATCTAACGTGACAATTTATTTTTAAATTATTAACTTATTATTGATCTACACTTATATACCCCCCCCCCCCCCCCCCATTTTTTTTTTTGGCCAACCTTCCAAAAACAGTGTAAAATGACTACAACAGAGACGGTACATTCAGCAACAATGAACCGTATAGTGACATATGCACAAATGACCTAGTTTGTTGCTTGGTTAGAAAGCTGTGTGCTGATTGGCGGATATTTCCCCTTTATCGTTAAGCTACATAATTAATAGCAACGGGCAATGCTCAAGAGGGAGACAGGAGGGCTATTGTAGAGATTAGTCACCGTTAAGATCCTAGGCAAAAACGCGCAGATGGTACGCTGCAGGTTTTAAATCATAATCATTATTACCACCACCATCAACATAATCATCACCACCATCAGCATCATCTTCAACATCATCACCGTCATCGTGCATTTTCATCACCATCATCGTCGTCGTCATCATCATTATTATTCTTCATCATATTCGTCCTCCTCCGCCTCTTAATCATCATCATCATCACCACAGTCAACATCATAATTAGCATCTACATTATCATCATTATCATTATCATATTTGTCACCTTCTTCCTCCTCCTTCTCATTATCATCAACATCAATACATTATCTTATCACCGTCATCTTCGTTAACACCATAATAATTATTACCATAGACAACATTTAACACTCCTAAAAAAATAGTGGGAAAAGAAAAAAAAAATCAAATGTTAAAAAGGCACACTGATACAAATGTAAAAACGCAATGCACAGATCGATGAGCAGCAGTTTTAGTCTGTAGCCAGGAAGTGTTTGACATCCTTGACAGCCAACTTTCATTGTGGAGACGGCTTCTGATTGACTCATTTTTATGCCTTCCAGACTTTTCCCGATTTCTACAATATTTCTAGGATAATCCTACGCATTTCATTCTACGATCAATTGATGAAACCGCTTCCCACATTTTCGTGATGTGTTCCGTTCATATTCTAAGAGTTAATGGCGTGCCGTCTGACGCATTGGCGCGAAAAGTGCAACCAACGCAGAGAAAGCAGAAGTAAGTGAAATCGGTAATGAAGCATTTCAAGCAGACGGGAGAAAGGCTGACAGTGAGAGAGTTAATAGGCTATATCCAAACTAAATAGAATAGGTTTTAGACGGGAGAAAAGCGTGGTAGTCTAAAATCGTAGAGCAAAGATTGACGGATCGAATTTTTCTAGTCTATATCACGTGACGTCTCGCCATGTTTTTGCTAAGGATATGGCTATAAATAGAAGGCATTTTGGGGTTTATAATTTGTTCTATAATGTCTGCAGAAGTATGGCTTCTATCAGACATGCGAAGAAAGAAATGGAGATAGAACATATTAGAAACGAAGTCAACACAATCTCTAAATAGTTAGAGAATAGAGTGAACTTTCAGAAATCCATAATTATCGAGAAAGCCATAGATAAAGACAAAGCTGACACTTTGAGACAGCCACAGAGATTGAGAAAACCACAGACGGAGAAAAGCCATGTGCATTATGAAAACCATTGAAGCTGAGAAATCTAAGGTTGTAAAGAAAGCCATAAAAGCAGAGAAAGCTGTGGATGTTGAGAAAGCCATAGATGTTGAGAAAGCCATAGATGTTGAGAAAGAAATGGTCGTACGAAAGCAATGGATACAGAGAAAGCCATGGGTGTTGAGAAATCAATAGACTCAGAGACAGTCGTCGACGTAGAACAATCCATGGATATAGAGACGGTTATGGATGTAGAGAAATCCTGGATATAGAGACGGTCATAAGTGTAGAGAAATCCATGGATATAGAGACGTTCATATGTGTAGAGAAATGTATGGACATAGAGAAGTCATGGGTGTAGAGAAATCCATGGATATAGAGACGTTCATGGATGTAGAGAAATCCATGGACATAGAAACGGTCATAAGTGTAGAAAAATCCATGGATATAGAGACGGTCATGGATGTAGAGAAATCCATGGATATAGAGACAGTCATGGATGTAAAGAAATCCATGGATATAGAGACAGTCATGGGTGTAGACAAATCCATGGATATAGAGACAGTCATGGATGTAGAGAAATCCATGGATACAGAGACAGTAATGGATGTAGAGAAATCCATGGATGCACAGAAAGCCGTGCATGGTAAGAAATAAGAAAGCAGTGGGCACTGAAAGGATCTTGGGTGTACATAAAGCCGTTAACTTTGAGGCAAACGTAGCTGAGAGAGGTCAAATGGCTGGACCAAACTCCGTCCATGTTATTGGTACATTTGCACATGATAGACCGGAACTGTAGAATTGACTACTTCCACGTTTTTATGTATAACTGCACAATAGGATTTTACTGATGATGATCTGTTCTTCTCTTGTCTACCGCGTATGTGTATAGCGTCTTAGGGAGGAGATCGACGTAGCTGTCTTTTGGGAGTTGCCTAGCTTGTCAACAATGACCTTAATGTTATACAGTGTTTCTGTAGTCTCCTTTACATCATCCACCCATCTCTTTCTTGGTCGATCTCTGGACTTCTAACCGGTTGTTCTCATGTTGTACGTTATAGCTGCTGGCTGATTTTGTTTAATTCTAATCAGACGACCAAACCTTTTGATTCTTTGATATTCTATGAAATCCCTGATTGTTGTTACTTCTTCATTGGTGACTCTGCCTGTTATTGGTTTCCTTCCGCTCTTCTTACACATTTCATCTCATCTGTTACCATTTTTGATTGTTCTTTTCTAGAACAGTCCTTGCCTGGTAATGTTAGCACAAAACTGCGACGAACAGCGCATTTATTTTCTTTGATGATAGTCGCAGGTCGACCCAGCCTAAAATGGGTACCAGGATGTATGTCCAGGGAAAGTAAAGACAGACGTCGTAATACTGACCACATTACCTATCTAGTGCCGATTGGTCTGTAAAAATTATGGATGCTCTTCCCATTTTCCCGATGCTCTTCCCATATTCCCGATGCGCCTAAAAGGCATTAAAAGAGATCTTTAATCACTTTACTTTATTTGATGATGACCAGGATTGCAGGAAAAACAAACAAGGCAAAACTTCAACATTTGTTTGTTTGTTTATTCAACACATCAACATCATGGCACACGGGTGTAACCCATAAATGCTCCATTCTTCTTCTAACTCAAGCCTGTCTAACAAATGTGGGTTTTTAACTCAAAGTTTTGACCGGGCAGCGCCGTTAAGGCTACTCTTTTCGATATCCAACTGCCAAGGGATTTTTTTTGGCACGTGCACAACATTACACACGGGTGTCTGGTCTTACTACCAAGAGACCAGATGAAGTTACCTGAAGTCCATGGGAAAAAATCCCAGCTCTCACCAGGGCTTGAACCCGGGACCTCTAGCACTTGAAACGGACACCCTGCCTCTAGACCACGCAGCTTCCCCCCCCCCCACCCAACTTCAGCAAATAAGTACCTGATCTCTGCGTTCTTGCCGATGTCTTTATCAGTGGCCGAGAGTTTCCCTAGAACTTCGCCCACGCCAGCTGTCTCCACGACACTGTATGAGTAGTCCTGTTGTGTGAACACAGGGTTGTTGTCGTTCATGTCTGTCACATTCACAAACACTGTCAGCGTACCTGAAAGATGGACGCATTCACAGGTCACCTCTACTCGTCACATTACACAGTGTCCTGTGCTTTTTAAACTCCCATGTCACTTGTGCTCCATGTGATCGTCACATTCGTGGCCATATTCACCTGCTCTCGTCGCATTCACATGTCACCTGCAATCGTCACATTTAGTTGCCACCCGCACTCGTTACATTCGCATGTCCCATGTGCTCGTCACATTCATCTGCCACCTGTGCTGGTAACAAACACAAGGCACATACACTCATCGCACTCACATGTGTTATCTGTACCCGTCACATTTACAGGTTTCTTCTGCCCGTCACATTCACAGGTTTCTTCTGCCCGTCACATTCACATGTTTCTTTTACTCGTCACATTCACATGTTTCTTCTACTCGTCAAATTCAAATGTTTCTTCTACTCGTCACATTCACATGTTTATTCTACTCGTCACATTCACATGTTTACTCTACCTGTCACATTTACATGTTTCTTCTACATGTCACATTCACATGTTTCTTCTACCCGTCACATTCACAGGTTTCTTCTACCCGTTACATTCACAGGTTTCTTCTACCCGTCACATTCAGGTGCCCCAATGATGATGTCAGTAAAAAAAAAAATGATGATGTTGACGACGAATATACTGTTGATGACGATGAGAAATATAAATGTGACGAAACCGACGAGAAAGACAAGACAGTAACCACTCTAACACAACAATCCTGTCTGTCACAACGACAAAGACAAGACAGGTAACCACTCTAACGCGATCATTCTATCTGTCACAACGACAAAGACAAGACAGGTAACCATTCTGAAACGACCATCCCATCTGTCACAACGACAAAGACAAGACAGGTAACCATTCTGACAAAACCATCCCATCTGTCACAACGACACAGACAAGACAGGTATCCACTCTGACACGACCACCCTATCTGTCACAAAGACAAGACAGATAACTACTCTGACACAACTGTCCTACCTGTCAAAGCCTGCTGTCCTCCGTCAGCTGCTGTCAGCAACAGCTTGTACTTGTCTTGTTTTTCCCTGTCCAGAGCCGAGTTGACCACCAGCGACAGCAGAAACTTGTTGTTGAGTCTTTTCTCCACGTTCAGTGAAAATCTGAGTGGTCAGTAAAAAAAGCGCGGTCATTGAAAGAGGGACGCTGACACAAGGAAATAACCGGCTATAATAAATAATACACAGAAAGATTCATTTAGCTTCTAGTTGAACCAGGAATTTTCCCTCCCCCTCCTGCCCCCCAACATGAGTCACATAGCCACAACAGCCTCGTCGCCTAAATGGACCCCTCTTTACCTCACAATATTGACAAGGCATGCTCAGCTCATTATTTGCATAAAAAAGAACCGGACTAAAGGGTAATAATAATTTCTATAATTATCTTGCCAACAGTAATCTTCGTAATTGATATAATTATTATAATGAATAATGTTACCTTCATTACTGTTATTAAAGTCATTATTTACCGTTTGTTATGTGTGAACAAGGATGCAGATGGGGAAAAAAAGAGAAGAACCACATTGCAAATACCTTTTTATTTTCAAATTTCTAAGTAACTTCTTCTACATTAGAGGTTTCAGTGTACAGCAGCTTTTTTTTTTTTTTAGGCGGAAAAAGGGGGGGGGGGAAGGGGGGGGGGGGGGTTGTAGATGGTATTATTAGAATGGCTTTGTACTGGGACAACAAAGCACAAGTAATAAGTAAAGTGAGCGACTATTCTACGACGGTGCAGCGTATGTGGGTTGGGTGTTGCGAGTCCGACACGTAATTACAACATACCACGATTGAAACCCACTGTTGGCTGCGTAGATTTGTATCATAGTATGGGGCGTCCCAGGTCGATCCAGACTAAAATGAGTACCATGATGTATGTCCTGGGGAAGTAAAGACGACTGGTGTAATGCAGACCATATTACCCACCTAGTGCCGATGGTCTGTAGAAATATGGGTGCTCTTTCCATGTATCTTATACATCGCAAAGAGTAGCCTAACGGTGCTGTCCGGGCAATATTTTGGAGTAAAAAATCTACCCAAAGTATGTAATGATCCTCGCCGGTGCTAGAGAGCCTGTGCCATGTGCTGATCTTTTTCGGACTCCGACGTGAGCTAGAAGAGGAACGAACCACTTATAGGTTACTACCCGTGTGCCATGATGTTGTTCCGTTGTTCAAACCTCAAACATTAAACTCCTGATAGAATCTGAGTTGTTTAGTAATGGCAAACTGGATAGCTTACCAGACACTGACCATTATCAAAATTATTTAAAAGAAACACAGAAAATATTTTTAACCTAACAATCTACACTCCCATCAATCAATCAATCAGTCAATCAGTCAGTCAGTCAGTTAGTATGTCTATTACAGAACATTAGTCTCTTCAAGGGATGTATAACAGTCTCTCTGTCTCTAGCCTATTCTCCAGCCCGGTGTGCTTTCACAACTAATGCATCTTCAATGCCCTTTATCCACCTTCGTGGTGGTCAGCCTCTGCCTCATTTTCTGGAAAATTCACTTTCCATCATCGTTCTCTATCAACCACCACGGCGCTTCACAGCTCTAAAACACCTCAGCTTCCGGAAGAGGATACTGTTTACGAGCCAGTTCTACTTGACGTTTTGGTCATGCAGGATGTGATGCTTTTCTTCTTCTTGGTCCACCGTGTACTTAGAAACTTCCTGCAGCATTTCAGTTCATAAACTCCCATTTTCGTCTTCAAAGACTGAGTGAGAGTCCATGGTTAACATCCATATGTCTCCACAGTACATGATCTCAAATGTGTACTTTAACTCGCTTGTAGGTGCTATACCATAGGTGAGTGTTTCCCAAACATTTCTTGGTCACGGCGCCTTTTAAAAAAAAAAATCAAATTTCTTTTCACGGCGTCCTAAACTAAGTAAAAGTATGACCATTCGTGTCTTAGTTAAATTAATGATGAAGCTTTTACAATATTTCGCGGTGCCCATGTGAAGAGATCGCGGCTTTCCGGGGCGTCGGGGCTAACAGTTTGGGAATCACTGACATCGGTTGTTCATGTTGTTTAGCCTGTTAATACTCCTGCCATCTAAAACGTTACTCTTTCGAACTTAGGAGAAATAGTTGGCAGGTAAACGTGCTAGCAACTGCGGCTTTTCTCGACAGGATTTGTGTTTTTGGGAGCAAGTCAGCAAACAGATCACCGTGGTCTGGAGAGAATGATGCAGCGACAAGTTATCAAGGAATCTGACCGACACTCAACCTTCAAGAAAGATATATTCAATAACAATACTACTGGCACCATCAAAACTAGAACTGGCTTCTTATGTGAATGTTGCAAATGCTGTGATGTCGGTTACTAACTGACCTCAAATGTGTGTGTATCTACATGTAGCATACATAGTAACCTAATTAGAATGTAACTTCAATGGAACCGACAAGGCCAAACTGAAACCCCAAATTTATTAAAATTATAATTAGAGGTAAAAAAGAATACGCAAGAAAGTTGGCTGTTTATCCTTTAGCTAACGTCAAAACCCGACACTAAAATCTGTTGCGTGTTAGTGGCTTGACTAGGCAATTTTACGTTCAGTAGTTTGCCACTGCTTTATCAAAGGTGAACTTCCAAGTGTGGGTTCTTAGACCCATCGGTGGGGGGAATGGGGGGGGGGGGATAGAATCACTGCCTTTAGAACGAGTATGTCGTAGGAAACGACTAATTTGAGGATTCCTTCGAAGTTGGAGCGCATCTGTCCGAGCGACAAGGAACAACAAGCTGCACACAAAAAGGCCTGTAAACCGGACTAACACGCACAATTCAGACCTGTAACAGAGACAAAGTCCAAACTGACTAATAACCAGGACTTTTCGCAGGAGCTCTCAGCCCTAAGCAATGAAGAAGAAGAAGGAGGGGGAGGAGGAAAAGAAAACGAAAAAGAAAAAGAAGAAGAAGAAGAAGAAGAAGAAGAAGAAGAAGAAGAAGAAGAAGAAGAAGAAGAAGAAGAAGAAGAAGAAGAAGAAGAAGAAGAAGAAGAAGAAGAAGAAGAAGAAGAAGAAGAAGAAGAAGAAGAAGAACAAGAAGAAGAAAGAAGAAAAAAAGAAAAAAGAAGAAGAAGAAGAAGAAGAAGAAGAAGAAGAAGAAGAAGAAGAAGAAGAAGAAGAAGAAGAAGAAGAAGAAGAAGAAGAAGAAGAAGAAGAAGAAGAAGAAGAAGAAGAAGAAGAAGAAGAAGAAGAAGAAACATAAGAAGAAACAGAAGAATAAGAAAAAGAAATTTGAACGCCGGTGCAATTGTTAAATAACGTAAGGCAGTATTCGGTCAGATCATGTGCAGCTGAATGGAAACTGGTAAAAGAATTATGAAACACACACAAACAGAATGTGGCTGTGAGAGACAGAAACTCGGGATGACGGGTTGGACTGGAAAGGCTGTTTGAAGAAACAGAAGAAGAAAAGGGACAGAAGAAGAAGAAGCATAAGAAGAGGAAGAAGAAAAAGGAAAAAAAGAAAAAGAAGAAGAACGAACGAACGAACAAACTTTATTTTCAAAGGGTTACAAATTGGGCACGCACGCCCGTCTGACATTCGGCCCTTTTAAGTACTCATTTTTCAGAGTACCAATACCTGTTATCAATAATGCATGGTATGGATTTAATAAAGAAATATAAATTATAATATAATGCATACACACATCATGTGTACACAATCGTACACACTCACACACGTATACATATAAGAAGAAGAAGAAGAAGAAGAAGAAGAAGAAGAAGAAGAAGAAGAAGAAGAAGAAGAAGAAGAAGAAGAAGAAGAAGAAGAAGAAGAAGAAGAAGAAGAAGAAGAAGAAGAAGAAGAAGAAGAAGAAGAAGAAGAAGAAGAAGAAGAAGAAGAAGAAGAAGAAGAAGAAGAACAGGAACAAGAAGGAGAAGAACAAGAAGAAGAAGAAGAAGAAGAAGAAAAAGAAGAATAAGAAGAAAAGAAGAAGAATAAGAAGAAGAACAGGAACAAGAAGGAGAAGAACAAGAAGAAGAAGAATAAAAAGAAGAAAAATAGGAAGAAAAGAAAAAGAATAAGAAGAAGAACATGAAGAAGAAGAAGAACAAGAAGAAGAAAAAGAAAAAGAAGAAGAAGAAAAAGAAGAATAAGAAGAAAAGAAGAAGAATAAGAAGAAGAACAGGAACAAGAAGGAGAAGAACAAGAAGAAGAAGAATAAAAAGAAGAAAAATAGGAAGAAAAGAAAAAGAATAAGAAGAAGAACATGAAGAAGAAGAAGAACAAGAAGAACAAGAAGAAGAAAAAGAAAAAGAAAAAGAAGAAGAAGAAGAAGAAGAAGAAGAAGAAGAAGAAGAAGAAGAAGAAGAAAAAGAAGAAGAAGAAGAAGAAGAAGAAGAAGAAGAAGAAGAAGAAGAAGAAGAAGAAGAAGAAGAAGAAGAAAAAGAAGAAGAAGAAGAAGAAGAAGAAGAAGAAGAAGAAGAAGAAGAAGAAGAAGACAAGGAAGAAGAAGAAGAAGAAGAAAGAAGAAAAAGAAGAAGAAAAAGCAGAAGATAGATAAATTAAGAAAAAAAAAAAGAAAGAGAAGAGAAAAGATAAGGAAGAAGAGGAGAAGAAGGTGGATGAAGACAATGAGAAAAAAAGAAGAAGACGAAGAAAAAAAAAACAAGAAGAAGAAGAAGAAGAAGAAGAAGAAGAAGAAGAAGAAGAAGAAGAAGAAGAAGAAGAAGAAGAAGAAGAAGAAAAGAGCAGAACTGTTGGAGGAAGAGCAGGAAGAGGAAGAAAAATAAGAGAAATAATAATAATTGTAAAAGTTACAGAAGCAATAATAATAAAATTAATACTAATAATAGTATTAATACTACTAACAATAACAAAACACCTTTTGTCAGTAGAATGCTGAAGCCAGGAGTCAGACTTACATGGCCAAAAGCAGACAAAAGGCGAGTGAATCAACGCAGAGACAACCAAAAGCTCCCACTCGACGGTGATGGATGTGTTCGAGTGGAGGAGATGTGAGTACTTACGTAGTTGTCTCTAGCACCCGAGGAAAGATTATCAATAGCTATTTTCGTTGTCGTCGTTGCTTGCTTGCTTTTTACTGTTCAGGGTTCTTCGGTTCTTTCCTCTTTTTTGTCTCCGTCCCCTCTGCCTCCGCCTTCTTCATCCACGGGGTCGGCTGCTGTTGCACCTTCTCCTTATCTTTCTCCTCCCATCCTCTTCTTCTTTGTCTTCTTCTTCTTCTTTTTCTTCTTCTTCTTCTTCTTCTTCTTCTTCTTCTTCTTCTTCTTCTTCTTCTTCTTCTTCTTCTTCTTTTTCTTCTTCTTCTTCTTCTTCTTCTTCTTCTTCTTCTTCTTCTTCTTCTTCTTCTTCTTCTTCTTCTTCTTCTTCTTCTTCTTTTTCTTCTTTTCTTCTTCTTCTTCTTCTTCTTCTTCTTCTTCTTCTTCTTCTTCTTCTTCTTCTTCTTCTTCTTCTTCGTCTTCTTCTTCTTCTGCTTCATTATTATCATCATCATCATCATCATCAATATTATCCTCGCCTCTCAACCCTTCTCCTTCTTTTTCTTCTTCACTATTTTTTTTCACCTTAATTCTTCTACTCCATTCCCTGTCCTTCGTTTTTTTTCGTCTTTTCCCGCTGCTGCTCCTGCAGCTCTTCCTCAATTCCCCCCCCCCCCCTTTTTTTTTTTTCTCATGAGCCCGAATCGGTTTACATATGTAACCAATTTCCCTAGCCTAACAAATACGATATCCTTTCTGTCCATGATCAGTAAATAACACATGGAAGCCATAACCTAACCCTCAAATGTACCAGAAGAATGTATACATGAAACATAAACTGTGTCCTTGTTGCAGGACAATTCAACATTTAAGACATGGCGACTGGAACCTAGGGTTTTAGGTCCCAGTGTGAGCCTAACAACCCCCTTGCTTTCCCTCTCCCAACTGGTAAGAGGGCAGAGATGCCCTCACAGTTATGTTTATAAGTACTTTCATTTAAATGTTTTGTTTGCACATATCCTATTACGTCCAACAGATAACTGTATTTATTGTTCACTCAGCACATTACTGCAAACAGTATTGTTGTTATTAGGCACTTAGACAAGGCTTATTCCACCTGAGGCCCCACCTCTAAATAACGTGTAAAAGGATTGAATGCCCCCTCCCCACTCCCACCCGCTTGTATTGTTTTCTTTGTGCCAGCTGAACTGTTAATAACACATAAATGAATATCCAACCCAACCATCTCCAGGGGGCAATGAAATTACTTGTTCAGACTCTTTCCAGCAGTGCCATCTGTCTCTGGCATTTCATTTTTGAAGATCCCCAACACCTCATCTCACCCACCCCACCCGTCCTCTTTTCACCCCAACACACATACACACACACACAATCGATGGCGTCCCTATTGAAAACGGTGACAATTAAAATCGAACGTTTTGTGTATGCTTGGATGGCACTAACCGTCTACACCAGGAGGCCGGCACGCTTGTCACGCCGCTGAATTCATGAATAAAAGAGAAGGTTAAAAAAAAAAAAAACGGCTCAAAGGCGCATAACTAAGAAAATAAAGAACGAGAAAGACTGTTATCACGCCCTTAGCCGCGCAGGACTGCATATTTACAGCTGGTTTGTGTAACCGTTAGTCGGCTCTGTGGCTAAGTCGATGCGAACTCTTCGTAATGTCGGGATGCCGGGTTCGATCCCAGCTGCGGGCCATGCGCCTTGCGTTGGTTTCGACAGTGGTATCAGGAAAGCCGACCGCCCAGAAGGAATGGCAAACTACTGGACGTAAATTTGCCTAGAGAAACCACAAAACATCCAGGGGCTGTAAGGGTTGGTTCTGCAACGTCCTGTAAAGGATACGCATCTAACCTTTATGTAACCGTTACGGTTACCCTAGAAATAACTTTGGAGGTTTATATGGCTAACCAAGGCAATAAAGTGAAAATACGCAACTAAACGACCTTTTGCACGCCGTCGGACGCACCATGCCAATAGGACTAGACCTATATTTTGTAAACCAGTCAGTACTTGGTGGGTGATGAGGTCCCCCGCCGTAGTGTAGCGGCTAGACGCCAGCCTGCGGGTCGGAAGGTCGTGAGTTCGGGTCCTGACGAGGTCAGACTTTTTTCTTTTTCAAAGACGACCTTGGCTTCCATGTCGACCCAGGCACGAGAGGGTACCAGGTAGAGTTATGAGAAGTAAAGGCAGTCGGCTTGATTCTGACCACATTACCCATTATTCTATAAAATAAAGGTCTAGCGTAATATGCCCAATACGCCTAAGAGTTTAGTTGAGTTGAGTCAAGAATTGACATCACAGCACTCGGGGCATTCCCATGCATACTCCGTCATCATCTTCAGCAGCCAGCGCAGATTTCCAATACTGATGGCATCGGTCACAATCTGGTTAAAAGTCCGCCTTGCCTTTCCTCTGAGTATAGTGAGCCGGCCAGACCCTCTGGTTACACCAAGATGCCTCAATCTCTCCAGGCCATAATAATCTTCTATTTCTAGGCCATACAAATCGTCTTTCTCTACTGATTCCGTTGCTTGTTTCCAAAGGGCCTTGACCACATTTGCCTTGTCATGTATCAGTTCACCACCCAGTGGTGCGGATCCAGCCAGTCTGTCTGCCTGTTAATTACCCACCACACAGGCATTGCCTGGAGGAAAGACCTAAAGTAAGCTCACTACCTGTGACCTTTCTAGTGACGCTTGCCACTCTGCTCGAAGCATCCCTGCCTTCACTTTTTGCAGCATGCTTTCAGAGTCTGTTACAATTTCGACATGTGTATGCGTCTTGTTCTCTAGCCACCGGAGAGCTGCAGTTACCGCCTCCACCTCCATTCTCATGCTAGATGTTGTGGTATCATATGCTAGGCTGTCTTGCACTAAAGATTTCTCATTGGCTTTCGCTACGAACCCCGAGGCGCTTATCTTTCCTCTCAACACTGAACCAATTGTATAGGTAATCAGATCACCTAGGCGTGAATTGTCGTGAATCAACTGTTGGACTTCAACCTCCGTAGCACCCGCTGTCCACTCTTTGCACTCCCGGTCCAATTTTATCATGACCCTACACAGGTCAGACTTTTCTGCTGGTACTCTGACCCACTCCTCTCCTCGCCCAATGTTCTCCAGCATGCATACTTGTCTTATTGAGTCTTCTGCTTGAGCCATCCACGATTTTTCCATTTTCAGCCTCTGACCCTTGCCTGCAGCCAAAGTTTCATACAGAGGGTGTTCCCCTGTCTGCAGCTACTCTGAGGTATGACAGCCTGCAGCATCTTTAGCCTATCTGCAATAGTTGGCAATGCAAGGATGTAATGAATGCACACAATCGGGGTGTCTCTTGTACAAACCAAGATCCGCTGCATGGCTTCATTCTGTATGCGCTCTAGTTTCTCTAGCTGACTCTTCGAGACAGTGAGTAACCCCCATCCATTATCAGCCAGTGAGATGATAAAGTGCTGGTAAAGTGTGAACAGCATTCTCTGCTTCATGTCCATCGCTTCCATAATCGTTAGTGCATTTAGACCTTTTTAAACCCCTGTCACAACTCCCTCTATGTGATCCCTGAAAGACAAATTTCTGTCAAAGATGATTCCCAGGTACCGTAGCCTGCTGTCTCTTTTGATGTCTCTACCATTTATTATGACTCTGGGAGCATCAGCTCTAACAATCCTGTTGTCCAAAGAACACCACAGGACGGTAGCCTTTTCTGGGTTTATTACAGCACTCATCTCTGTACACCAGTCGATCACCTTATCGAATGTTGCCTGTAACTCTTCCCTTCCTATATACAAGGAAATCATCAACTCCAAGTGTGTCCAGGCAGGCTACATGTGCCTAAATGCGTGGGAAAAGGTCCCCCCCCCCCACCCCCTCAAAACTAAAAAAAAAAAAGATTACGCCTTTTGTGGCGTGGAAAAGAGACCTTTACTTACCCCCCCCCCCCCCCCCCCCCCCCCCCTCAGATTTCTTGTTAACAGTATTTGAGATTTTGTTTTGTTCTCATTTTTTTTTTAATCGCTTAATGTTTTTTTTAAGGGAATGCTTTTCGCAATATATTCAGTAAAGCACCTCTTGAAAACAGGTTGAAAACCTCTGTATTGGACGCTTCATCAACCCACTCACATTGGATTGCAGGCCGCTGTGTAACCACAAGCTAGCTAGGCATCACTGCGTTAAATGGTTCAGCGGGTTTTCCGATTTGCTTCTGATGTATTCGCAGTGAAATAGTGGACCTCGAGTCCCCGGTGTCCATCTCTGGGAGGACAATCCCTAAAGTGGACGAGAAACCACCACCACCAGGGCAATTTTTTTTTTTTTTGGCGATCATACTAAAGAGAAATCGTGTGCCTGTGGCTTTGTGGTTGCGAACGCACTTCGTAATGCTGGGCTTGTCGGGTTAGATTCCGGATGCAAGCAGCTTGGCAGCAAAAGTCTTGCGTTAGATTATCAAGAAAAGATATAAACCCGAACGAAAAGTATAATAGCAAGCTTCACAATATAACAAATACAAACAAAATGTGAACTTTGCGGCTATTGAGCTTTCATCAGCACATACAAATGAAACAATGCTACACAGAAACACAAAATCAACCGTAATAATGGACAATATGCGACGAGTGCGACAGGTACAAACAGATAGTAGCAGTTCTGGGCGGGCGGGACACACGAGGTGAGTGACATTAATGAAATACTGTGAAGCTATAAAAATATTAGATGTAGTACGGAGAGCTGACAATTCAAGAGCAATGGCGAACTACTGAATATAATATTTGTCAAGAAAACCCACAATAGCTAACAACAACAAAATTGTCCTGTAAAGGACACGCCATCTTTCACTGTGGTAACGACACATGATCCACTAAATATATTTTTGCGAAGAATTTATTTTTAAAAAGATAAAACTGAAAACAAAAACTACTTACGGTTCAGATGGACTCAAAAGAGTGTATTTCTGCACGCTGTTATCTCCCTTGTCCCTGTCTACTGCAGACGGAAGTGGCTTGGTCAGTCCAACAGCGTTGTTCTCTGGGATATCAATGGTGATCTCATCAGACTCAAATGTGGGCATGTTGTCGTTGATGTCCGTCACATTAATGGACACCTCCACCAGCCGAAGAAAATCCGTCACGTCAGAGTTGACCGTCACGTCAAACTTAATGATACAATCCTTCATATCATCGCAAAGTATCTCCCGGTCTATCATCGTCTGCGTAAAGAGAGCTCCTGAACGGCCATTGATAGAAAACAGATGCGTCCATTTATCCGAAGGGTCAAGAAAGTCGAATCTGAGGGTGCTAAACTCGGCTTGACTGACCTCCCGACTGATCGATGTAGCACTGGCTATGTTTCCGACGTAGGTGCCTGTTTTCTGCTCTTCTCTAATCGGACCTAACATGACCTTCACCGACTGACTTTCCACCACGTGAACAATGTTACTAAATATAAAAATGGCGAATGGCTGCAGGAAGCACACATACTCTAAGCGTCCTTTACTGTGCATTTTAAAGATTCGAGCTGATACTCTCTCCTTCAGGTGTTTCAGAACTCTAAAGCCCTAGTTAAATTTCAAGCTAGGTAGGTAGGTACGTAGGTGTTGCCATTCAGGATTGCTTTCTGTAAGATTACCACCCGAGTTTTTCAGCTTTTGGGCACTTCTGCAGTAAGGAACTCACTTGCAATCCAAAGTAGGGTTTAGAGTGGATGCATGCACTTTACATCTATGTTAGAAGTCTGTTTTCCATATTGTATTTATATGATCACAATGAAATGCCTCAGTAATTCACATCGTCTAGTTTTTATTGTGAGAAGCGTCTATTTATTTAAAAGAAATTATTCACCGCAGATTTACACTGAACTAAGTCTATCATCATCACTCCTATGTTTGTTTACAAAATCAGAGTAATTACTAAGGTTCATATTTTTGAATTCCACAGGGAGCTCACACAACGCGGGACAATATTCTGGGTATAATATCTACTTTTGACCTGTTGACATAGGTTTAAAAAAAAGATAGATTAATCAAACAGTTTAAAAAAAAACTGAATTTAATTTTATTAGGAATACTGAGATATGTATCGACATATCAGTAGTGTATAAGTCGTTTACAGGTATCATTTGAGAAATCGATCTCTCTTTATCCTTAGTAAAAGATGGCGGCCAAAAGTGATTGGTTCTTTCTGGCGGGTTTATATATCCTTAGTAAATATCGATCGGGGCACCCGCCCTCTTTGTCCTTAGTAAATATCGATCGGGCGGTTGGTGATGGTAAAAGTGATTGGTTTTAGGGAAAGGTATAGGAAATCGATACTTTGTAGATGCATTATTATCTTCATAACTGCAGGTGACAGGTGGCGTTATATAAAGGGTGAGGTCAGGAACACTATTTAGGTGAGCAGCGGGGGCAGGGGACCCGGGGCGACTAGGAAGGCGCCATGATGACCGGGGATGTATTAGAAAGGGTAGATTGGGCGCTAGGGAAAGGTATAGGAAATCGATACTCTGTAGATGCATTATTATCTTCATAACTGCAGGTGACAGGTGGCGTTATATAAAACGGGGGCAGGCAGGAACACTATTTAGGTGAGCAGCGGGGGCAGGGGACCCGGGGCGACTAGGAAGGCGGCATGATGACCGGGGATGTATTAGAAAGGGCGGTTCGAGAACCATCATCATCATCTATGTCATGGTAGCGAAGGTCGACCGCTCAACCTATACAAGAGAACAGACATATAAACATCGATATTTTGTCTCCATAGCAACTGGTTATTTATTGTCGGTATGTTGGGGTGTGGGTATTTTTAGGCGGATTGGTTTAAGGAAGACAAATATTTCTTTAGTGCAGGGCCAGCTGTTGGTTAAAAGTGGCGGATGATTCATTTCCCCATGGCGGCCAAATCTACTTGGTCTCTCTGGGAGGCTGTTCTTTATCCTTAGTAAATATCGATCGGGAGGCTGATGACAGCACACTTGACGGGTTTCAGGGGAAAGACATATGGTGCATAAATCGATATGTTGTCTCCATAACAAATGGTTATTCATTGTCGGTATGTTGGGGTGTGGGTATTCTCTTCAGGGAAAGGCAAATATTTCTTTAGTGCAGGGCCAGATGTTGGTTAAAGTGGCGGATTACCGGGGATATATTAGAAAGGGCGACTCGAGCGCTATCAGCATCATCTGTGTCATGGTATTGAAGGGATGGTTTGAGCTGTAGTAAAAAGGGGGACATACGACAGAAGGGTAGCTGTCTTGTCATAGTGTCGAGGGCAGAAGAGAAGGGGCTTACCTGACATCGGTGAGCAGCGCGGCGGGCGGGGCAAGGGACACGGGGCGACAGGGCGACTATAACGGTTGGTGTTGGTTTATGGGTTCTGTAATAGACAAAAAAAAAAAAAAATTAGAAGTGGGTTGTTAGCGGGAGATATATATGTTATAAAACGAAACAAGTTACGGGATATGAAAATAGACATAGGCAGCAGTGACAGCCGGCAGAGGGGGAGGGGGCGTTTTAGGGTTTAGGTAAAGAAACCTAGAAAGGTGGTTTAATGACCGGGGATATATACTAAAGGGCGACTTGAGCGCCATCATCATCATCATCATCTGTGTCATGTGAGCGAAGATCGACTGCTCAGGGATGGTTTGAGCTATAGTAAAAAGGAGAACGTACAATAGAAGGGTGGGCGGCTTGTCATAGTGTTAGATGTTGATAGTTTAAGTTTTAGTTTAAAAGGAAAACTTTAACAAAGAGGCGACCGTTGTGACATATTATTGGATATTGACCGCTCAAGGAGGGTATGAGTTAAAATAAAAACAATATGGTAATTTATAGCAAAACGGCGACTCTTGTGACATATTGAGGAGGCCGACCGCTTATGAAGGGTTTGAGTTGAAGTAAAAAGGGGACTTTATGGCAAAACGGCGACTTTTGTGTCATAGCAGCGAATGCCAACCGATCATTGAGGTTTTGATTTTAGGTAAAGATGGGAATTTATGGCAAAATTGCAACTTTTATGTCAACAATAATAAGGAATGCCGGCCGCGCAGAAATAGTTTAAGCTGTAGTAAAAAGGAAAAAACATACGACATTTGGCGTGTGTCTTATCATAGTGTTAGATATTGATAGGTTAGGGAGGGTTTAGTTGCAGTAAGAACGAAAGCGTTAACAGAAGGGCGACTTTTGTAACATATTATGGGAGGCCGGCCACTCATCCGTAGTTTAAATTGTAGTGGGAAAAATAGCAAAAGGACGACAGGTGTGGCAAAGTGTCGGGTTCTGGCCGTACATATATGGTTGAGCTGTAGTTTAAAAAAAGGAGAACTGTTGTGTCATATTGTTAGATATCACCGCTCATAAAGGGTTTACGTTGTAGGTCAGAGGCGGCGCTACCAGGCGACGAAGGTGGGCTGGGGCAATTTTAGGTGCCAAAAGGGCGCTATGTCTTTCTCGACAGACAGCGTAAAACCACACACGAGACGTTACATGTCTTTCACTGGTCTTTACAAGGCAATAACTGAAGACGCCAGATAACCCGATCACTATCCTTGGGGCAAAGGGGAGCTGGGGCAATTTTGGGTACCAAAAAGGCGCTATATCTTTCTCGACGGACAACGTAAAGGACGCACGAGACATCGCATGTCTTTCACGGGTCTTCACAAGGCGATAACAGAAGACGCCGGGTAACCCGATCACTATCCTTGGCGCACAAAAGTCACCCGATGTTTTTCTTCATAGGACACCGTAAGCCACGGAAGAGAAAGAGCATATCTTTCACTGGTCATGACAATTCGTCACCTAAGGTTCCTATTAAGTAGCTAACTGTCCTTCTGACACAGCAAATCACTCGATGGTTTTCTCTACGGGACACCACAAAGCACGCAAGAGACAGAGCATGTCTTTCACTGGTATTGTCAAGTCAGTTGCCGACGGTTCTTAGTAAGTAGTGCACTGCCCCTGGGACCCAGCAACCACCCGATATTTTTCTTGACGAGACATCTTAGGTCACTTAAGTCTTCCTCGTTGCTTCCGGCGTTGTCAGCGTCCTCGTTGTCGTCTTCCTTGTTGACTTCGGCGGGTCGTCGTCTTCGGCGTCATCGTCGCCTCTAATGTCGTCTTCGTCGTCGACTGCATAACCCAAGGTTTTTACTAACTGTCCCGGCTGCCTCGGACACGATGCGACTTTAGGAAAACAGGAGACTCGTCGTCTTTGCAGTTGTCTTCCTCCTAATTTGCTCGTCTTCGGCGGTGTCGGCGCGTCGTAGGACAACGTTAGTCACTCGTTCACTAACCTCTCTTGGTAAGTCAATAATTAACATTGGTACTATGCGAGTCGCTAAGATGTCTTTTCTGTTGGGGAAACACTTGATGTCTTGGTCCTTTGATACATCTTGAATCACACAAGATATGACACACATCTTTCACCAGCTGTCCCTGACGACTCGGACACACAGTGGCTTTCAGAAAACACAAGGCAGCTTTTTAGAAGCCAGAAGGCTACTTCAAGAACCCCAGAAGGCATCTTTTTACAAACCAGAAGGTGACTTTAGAAACCCAGAGGGATACTTTTTAGAAACCCGAGGGTGATGTGTAGAAAATAAGAGACAACGGTTAGAAACAAGACGGCACCTTTTACGAAATATAAGCTGACTTTGACGAAACATTAGGCAACTTTTTTATTCAACATAGAGCGCCTTTTAAGAAACACGAGACGACTTCACTTATAAAGCCAACATTTTCTTTTCCCGACTAGCGAAAGGTCGCATACTTAGGAACACATAAACCTTTCTTACTCCTATCACATCTCTCGCTAAACAAGAAACAACACAACAACTTGTCGTCGCACTGTCGAAACAAACAAAATAACCTTTTGTCATTGAGCTGGGGAAACTTGGAAACTGTTCATTTCTTCTTCTTCTTCTTCTTCTTCTTCTTCTTCTTCTTCTTCTTCTTCTTCTTCTTCTCTTCTTCTTCTTCTTCTTCTTCTATTGAACAGTTTCCAAGTTTCCCCAGCTCAATGACAAAAGGTTATTTTGTTTGTTTCGACAGTGCGACGACAAGTTGTTGTGTTGTTTCTTGTGTTAAGCGAGAGCAGTGATAGGAGTAAGAAAGGTTTATGTGTTCCTAAGTATGCGACCTTTCGCTAGTCGGGAAAAGAAAATGTTGGCTTTATAAGTGAAGTCGTCTCGTGTTTCTTAAAAGGCGCTCTATGTTGAATAAAAAAGTTGCCTAATGTTTCGTCAAAGTCAGCTTATATTTCGTAAAAGGTGCCGTCTTGTTTCTAACCGTTGTCTCTTATTTTCTACACATCACCCTCGGGTTTCTAAAAAGTATCCCTCTGGGTTTCTAAAGTCACCTTCTGGTTTGTAAAAAGATGCCTTCTGGGGTTCTTGAAGTAGCCTTCTGGCTTCTAAAAAGCTGCCTTGTGTTTTCTGAAAGCCACTGTGTGTCCGAGTCGTCAGGGACAGCTGGTGAAAGATGTGTGTCATATCTTGTGTGATTCAAGATGT